GCAGATAAATTACGTGAATAAATGTACATGATGATAAACAATGGCTAAATTCTCATGATGCCAATGGTGGAATCGGAGCTTATTCCAGCAGGTGGCAGCACTGAAATCTGTGCAGCTTCCCATGGGAAATATTCCTCATTTCCACGAACATTATAATTTGGTCGAAACTGGCCCAGAAATGGCCCAAGAGTGGCTCAGGAATAACACTCATTTCCCTACACTCTGTTAACAATGATGCTCCATGGGCTTGGATTCGCTCCAGTTCCATCCCCCCCCTTAACCTAATCTACCTCCGCCCTTTCTCCACTTGTTTGCGGCTGGGAGGTGGTGGTCGATGAGCGGTCTCAAAAAGTGAAGAGTTTTTTAAAAAGTAAAGTTAACAATTTTATTTTCTACATGACTTTACCGAAAGAACCGAAGAGTAATTCCTGCAGTCACGAAAGCTTCCAATTTAGTTTGAACCACCTCTACGGGGAGGGTTTACTCACAACTCACACTTTACTTCTAATTTAGCAATCTTTGGGAGAACGTCCATCAACCAGGCTATTGCGTTAACTGTGTGTTCGCCTACTCTCTGCGTTGCATTACATTACACTCTCTAATTTAGCTAAATTTGTTATCAAACTTCCTATTTTTCGCTCGGTGTGTCTTTGTGTTGTGTCTCTTTCTGCTTGTGGGTCTGCCTATGCTGTTTCCGTGTCTGTGTTTTATCACACTTTACTACTAATTTAGCAATCTTTGGAAGAACGTTAATCAACCAGGCTATGCGTTAACTGTGTGTTCAGCGGCCCTCTGTGTTGCATTGCATTACACTTCTTAATTTTACGAAATTTGCTTTGTCAAACTTTCGATTTTCTTGCTCTAAACCATTGTCTTTCCTCCGGCCACTGTGGTCCGGAATTCTACGCTGCTCCCTCCTTGTCCCCTCGTGCGTCAGCTGGTCCCCTCGTCTGTCCGCCTCCCCAGTCCTCTCTTTGCCCCGGCTCCTCCCCCCTCTCTCTATTTAAGGCCTCGGCACAGATTCGTTGTCCTTCTGTTCGTCTTGGTGTGTGTCTCGCTCGGTGTGTCTTGGTGTGTCTCTCTCTGCATGTGTGTCTGCCTATGCTGTTCCCGTGTCTGTGTTTTATCATTCATTCCTACCTGATGATGGTTGCTTGTGTTGCAACCGAAACGTCGTATTCTATTATTTGTTTTTATTTTCTACGTGACTTTACCGAAAGAACCAAAGAGTAAAGTTAACATGTATGGGTTAGAGTCGACTCTTCTATGTTAGAGTGTTTTTTTTTACAATCTTTCAATGTACACCTTTTAACATGGCTGGGGAAAGGTTGAACTAAGTGAGTGACATGGGCTGGCCGTGGAAACGAGGCATTGGTCTCGTTCTGGTCCAATGCGAGTGCATTCAAGGTGCACGATGCAACGTGTACATTGAAGTGCAATTCGTGCCCTGTTTTCACGTCTTCGTTTTCCCCAATTGTATCCCCATTGCGCTGCCGGCTTCACGTCACGAAACAATACATCGATCGCATCTCTCACAGTGCAGTGCAACTCCTTGTAGTACAGAACAACCGATGGAAGCAGATATCACAGAACTACCTCTGATATCTCTTCGAGTGATCACTATTCCACACAGTCGAGGGGGCAGCACTTTGCACCCACTCTGCTACAGAGAGTAATCTTCGTCTATGACAGTTCAACCAATATTTGGAATTTTCAGCCAGATTAAGTTCAGAACCAATTTAAGTCCATAACCAAATTTAACGTGAATATTTTTTTGCAGAATTCATTGTTCATAAGGTTGAGATCATCAACTAACTACTCTCGAGAAGCTGGTGTATTCACAGGTGGCTGCCTTGATTCCAACCCAGGTTCTGAATGGCGCCAGCTCAGCGGTTCTGACATTCTAACCACCCTACCACTTATTCTTAGGTTTTTTCAGTAAAGTCGCCATGTAGGTAAAACATTAAAATTAATAAAAGTAAAATAAAATAAAAATCACGACGTTTCGGAGGCAACACAAGCTTCCGTCTTCAGGTGGAACCGTCACAGCCACGACAGCTGTATCAAACACAGTGTGTACCACTCTATTCTTGCGTAAAATGGCAATTCAGGCGCTAAATGCCAATATCGAGGTCTGCGAGCCAAGAGAGGGCTTCAGGAGGGAGTTCTGCTTTTCCTCCTCATTTGAAAGAGCGCAGACGACCGTGGTTTACTATACGGTCTATACTTTGTTGTATAGCCAAAATCACACCGTGGCTTGTCTTTAATTTTCCATTCATGAAGGTGATGTACATATCGGCTTGTTGATGTTCTAATGCGGTTGATGGTACATGATGAATGGCGTCCGTTTGACAATGTAGTGTTTGGTAGCTTTGCAGGCTCCATGTAGCAGAACTCACAGACGTTTCCCCGTTCATTCGGATTTATTAAGTGAGGCATAGGTAACTTGATAAGACAATTGTGGACACTGATAAGGTGGTAGTGTTTGTTTGGCTTGAGTCTCACTCACGGTTGCCATTCATAGGGCTGGCTTTTGTCAGGGCAGTGAGCCAAGCTTGTCGAGGTCTTTCATTCATCTGCTGCAAGAATCGTGGGGTTGTGGGTATTGGAGGGGTCCACCCTCAGGAAATAATTGCATTTGCAAAAGGGAGCTTGTTTTCATAATGATGGCTGTATCTCAGGGTTGAGCTTTTGGGAAATGAAGAAGCCTTCTCGGAGAAAGCCCTAGGTAGGCATTATGCAGAGAGCTATCAACTCAGCCGACATATAACTATTACACCATGCAAACCGAGGTTTGGCGATTATGCCACATGTCTCACACCGCCACTTCGAGAGCCCTTGAGGGCACTATTTCCTTGGCGCAGGGCCTGTACAATATTGGTGCGAGTTTCTCATTATTTTTTTATCCATTCGATTGAAAACTATTTTTGATCGTTTGGTAAAACAGAACAGAGGTTTCATCGAAATTGACAGGCGTGTTTGTAATGTCATTTTGCATAAACTGCCTCCGTGAGCGATGGTGTCAGCGGTTTTCCGCTCGATGTGCGTACGCCCTTCAAGGCAGCTGGGAGCCGTTGTAATTACAGCCGGGCGGACGATAACGGCTCCCCCGTGGTCCACTTAAACAAGAGTCCACCCACGTAAGGCAGAAAGCTTTGCTTGCGTTAATGACCAGCCGTCGACATAGCCTGTGGTGATCCTGGTCTGCTGTCCTGCTGAGTGATTCTCGAGACTTGATGGCACAAGGGAGCGAGCAAGACAACATGCAGCCAGGCAAGGATTTTCGTGCTGTGTGCTCAACATTTGTATTGTTGTTCGTTCCGCAGCACGCTCATTCAAAGACAAAGATCCCCCGTATAGCCTTGACAGACTGTTGGGGCGAGTGCTGTTAGCGAGCACCTATGAAGGCCGAAACGGCACGTAAGTGGGTGGGCGGCCAACACAACGCCCGGCCGCATTTGTCTCCCGAGTGACTATGTCATTTGAGGTTGAGTCGACCTAGGGGAGGCGCAGGACCCATTCAGATAATCATCACTGGTGTTGGCCGTGAGCGGGAATCGAACTCGGGTCGCCGGATTTGTAGCGCAGCGCACTAACCATTGCACAGCCGCTCCACACTACAAACACACGTATGCATTGTGACAGTATTTTAAAATAATGCCTAGCTACAGCTCGAGGAAAAGAAGGTGCTTTTAATAATTTAAGCGGTCGGCGAGATAGCCGCGTGGTTTTATCAAAAACCGCACCGGGCGGTGAAAAGCAATCGATTGAGGACGTCTTTCCCTCTCTCTTTCTCTTCACAAGTCTCCCAGCCGCATGGCCGCTGCGCGCAACGCGCCACGCCGAGACGCATAACGAACTCCTCCTTCGAGTTGATTTCGTCGCACCGCCCTTTTCGACGCCCTCTTCCATTCCCACAGAATGTCACGCATTCTTACGTTGTCTAGCTATTGATTGCATGACAAGGCTTTGAATAAACAATGTTTTAAACACACTCACACACACACGTTAGTTATTGCCAACTTCAAATGTCTCCCTGTCATTTGAAGTCAAACGTCCAGGTGCTCTTCGTGATTATCTGAAGGCATTCATGAGCTTCGTTCCAAAGTAACCAGAGGGTTGATTTTCTTCTAAAACATATATCCATCCTCTGTGAAATCTTCAATTCCACCAGTATCTCATGTTTTGACAATCTGACAAAGAACATGCCGGGCCTGTATAAACAATGAGGCAAATAGGCAGAGTATATTTACTGTTTACGCAATTTATTAAAAACTTCTTGCAGTAAAGGAGCGGGTTCATTGAAGCATTATTTTTCCCTTGTAAGCATTTTTATCTATATTGGGTACGCGTTAAAAAGATAACATCTCCATTACAAAATAACCCCACTCAATAACAGCCTCACAAAATGAGAATTTCTGTTCTGCCAAAGGTTATGTCCCCTTTTGAGTCATCCACCGGATCCCAAGGTGATTATCTCCTCCCTTGTGACACAACATAACTCCGAGGCCAACGTTTATTTCAGAAATGCATCTTGCTCCTGTGCTTACCACTCAGCACTTATATGAAAACAAGTTGCAGCGCCACTTTATCATCCTAATTACGACTCTCGAAACACCCCCACCCCCTCATATCGGTAGCCGTGGTACAAAAATCTCGTGCTCATCAGTTTTAGTTGTACCGTCTTGAGGATCCCGTGCGCACACGTCTCTCCTTGGCAAAGTGTGCAAGGCTGTTCTTGGCATGGAAAGATTACGGCTGGCCCTCACCGGCGTGCCTTTAAGTGGCCCACCGAGAGAGGGCTTGACCGCTGTGGGTCCCCTGCGGTCAGCATCAGCACTTTGTCGGAGCAATATTTATCCAGGTTCTCGTTAAACACCGGTCCCCGCTCTACGGGACCACTGTCGTCGGCGCTGTTGCGTCACGTGCGTACAAACCACCCCTTTTTTACCTATAAGGGTGGCTTTAGTCAAACGCACTGATCACTTTATTGTGTGATTATGAGCAGCGCGGCTGCAGGCTGCCTTCTAAATCCATGAAGTAACATTAAATGGCTCACTGAGAATCAGAGATTAAGATTGTTTTTGTTGAGCGGTTGTTAAAAGAGTTTTTTAAAAGTTTAGGACCCACGAAATGTTATTTATTTTCCCTCTGCTGAAGTCTTGACAATTCTTTTCTTGGAACATTACAAGTTGCGATAAACTCACAGAAATGCTGCATTCTTGGGCTCGAGAACAACTGAACTGTGGCTGCCACAACACTGCCATTGCCGTAAAATACCAATGACGACAAAAGCACGTTTTCTGCCAACAACAAAATACGCAAACCTTTTCTTAAAAAAAAAATGCCAATCAGCATAATCTGCAGCATGCCTCTGCCGTTCGAAGAGAGGGCAGCCGAGTCGCCCGCAAAGGGACGCGACCTGGAGAGGGAACGGCGGCGGCGCCGGCAGCGGCAGCAGCAGCGTAGGGGTGATGGAAGATTCGAACGGGAGATGGACTCCCCGCCGGCACCTTCAGCGCCCCCGGCCGCGACAAGCGGCGGCGGCCGCTCGTTGTCAGACTTTGCCGGCGGGACCACGCTGCACGGCGTGTCGCACGTGTTCGTGCCGGGCGAGCGGAGCGGGCTGACCGCACGCCGCACCCTCTGGGCCCTCGCCGTGATCGCCTCCATCGCCCTGCTGCTGCTGCAGTGCGTCGACCGCGTCGCTTACTACCTCCGGTACCCGCGCATCACCTCGCTGGATGAGACCTCCAACCCCAACGTGATCTTCCCGGCGGTCACCATTTGCAACTTCAACACCCTCCGCCGCTCGGCGCTCACGTACAACGACCTGTTTTGGACCGCCGAGCTCCTGGGTCTGCCCGAGGGCGTCATTGAAGCCGAAGTGGCCGGGGCCGATCTGGACGGCCAGCGTCCGAGCCTGGGCGCGTCGCTTGGGCTGCCCGGGGTGTCCACGGCGGACGCGCGGAGGCCGGGCCCCGGGAGGACGTTCAACATGTTGGAGCTGTATGCGAGGGCTGGCCACCGCATGGAGGACATGCTGCTGCAGTGCCGATATCGAGCCGCCGAATGCAAGCATGTCGACTTTGTCACAGTGAGTGCCGGTTCTGAGCCAAACCATTCGGGGACCATGGGGTTACTCGCAGGTGGATTGGCGTCTCGGCCGCACGTACCGTTAGGCAGTCAGTTGTCGAGGTTTTGTTGTGGTTTTTTTAATTGTTAAATATATTAATTGTGCTCCTTTTCAATGAAAGCAGAATAATACAATTTTAGGGTTTTTTTCATCTTCTAACCAGTCGTGAGTGTATCGTGGTGGGTTGGGGGTATGGTTTGAAATGACAGTTTTTGATTATTCCATAAACTTAAAGGTTTAAACTCTATTTTATATAGGTCCTTGGCAGTGCAAATTAGCTCCAAAATGGCCTTTAAATAGTTCAATGTTTTTTTTTTTCTGACAAGTCTAACCTCATTCAATCAGTGGATGCATAAGAGAACAAATGGATTTCCTTAATAAAATAAGCCAATCCTGTTGTATTGAAGAATTTCATTGCACATTAAGTTGAAACATTGAGCTATTTTACTGCCTTTCGTGGCCCACAATTTTACTGCTTTGTTCAGTTAAACCGTGAATGCTTAATGCCACATTTTAATTGAGTTTGGTTAAATTAAAACAAGTGAACCGTAACAGAGGTAACAACATAAATTTTGTAGAAAGCTAACAATAACAAATATCTACGAAAACTAAATGCGTATTTGATAGAGCACAAATGACCTTGCGATGTGGCAGTAGCCTCCCCCATAGTGCACGTGGCCTGTTCGGAGAACTTGTTGCTTCACAAAAGTGCATTGACAATTACCAGGGTAAATTTCGATTTAAAGCTTTCGTGACTGCAGGGATTCATCTTCTTGGTTCTTTCGGTAAAGTCACGTAGAATGGAAATAATAAAATTATAAAAATAAAACATAATAAAATAATTCTCACGACGTTTCGGCCACAACGCAAGCAGCCGTCCTCAGACCTGTTCTTCACCTGAGGACGGCTGCTTGCGTTGTGGCCGAAACGTCGTGAGAATTATTTCATTTTGTTTTATTTTTATTAATTTATTATTTCCATTCTACGTGACTTTACCGAAAGAACCAAGAAGATGAATTACCAGGGTCTCTTTCATGAAGATATGCCGTGAATTTTACGACGTAATTTTTTGGGTTGTCCCACGCATAGCTATTAAGAACAGCAGCAATGTGTTTGTAGCAACAATAAATGTGAAATCCCAGTACAAAATGAGAGTGAAACGTACCATTTTAATTGACTTGGCGGTGTGTCAATACAACGTGGATGCTTTTATTTGCTGTGCGCGTAAGTAAATTGAGGAATGCGCCACCACTTGCCATTATTTTTTGCTCCTGAGCGAGAATTAGCGGCATTTCATTTGTCTACCGGGAACTACAGGAAGGGCTGACTTGAGTCAGTCAGCTGTGAGCGCGCGGGTGCATTATTATCACAGTTGTGCCAGTGGAGTGGGGAGAGATGTACTGACTATTGAAATTAAAGCGCTAGCTCTCGGCAGCTGTAATTATTGTGAAGCCGTTTAGGGGGGTGGGGAGCTTCATGTTTCTGAAGCTGCAGTTGCAAAAGTATATATTTTTTCTCTTCCTTAATCAAGGCCGTGTCAACGTTTTCACACCCAACAATAATTTGGAGAGCTCGGTGCCATTCTGTTCGTGTTTTTTTTACGCCTCGATCTTTCCCTGAAGCCTCTGATGAAATACTAGCGTGGATGGTGGGTTGGAGGAGGAGGTGTTGAAGGGTAGGCAATATTTGTTTACATTAAAAGTGAACAGGGGCTAGTTTAGTTTGTCAAGTTTGCCTTACAATGTCTTGCTCACAACACTGATGGTGAAAGGGCTTCCATTCTAGGGAGATTTAACAAAAACCCATGTAACCTATATTATGAATAGTGGTTATTTTTCGATTTAAAGCTTTCGTGACTGCAGGGATTCATCTTCTTGGTTCTTTCGGTAAAGTCACGTAGAATGGAAATAATAAAATAATAAAATAAAACATTATAAAATAAATATTTTTATAATAAAATTAATATTTTTATGTGTTATTTTATTTTATTATTTCCATTCTACGTGACTTTACCGAAAGAACCAAGAAGATGAGTGGTTATTTTGTTCTACTTTTCCATGATGGCCAGACTTCTTGGAAGAGGTGTGAACACCCACACTTTACCCCACTAAACTTGACGCACCCATCCACTGACTGTATTATGCCTGCTTATACGTGGGTGGGCAGAGAAGGGGCGATTTAAAATACTTGCCACATTTTTTCAACTGTGGTGCCAGGAAAATGAATTGAACCGTCGACCTCTGGATTGGTTAAGTTGGTCCCAACAAATATTAATACACATGAATCCCTGACACTGTCCTATATCTTTATCGTCAGCAGCAGCCATCATCAATCCACTGCTGGATGAAGAACGTCCCTAAGCCGCCACCATCTGTCATGGTCCTACAATGTGGCAATCCATCTTGCACTTTTGGGGCACATTCCATTCGTCTTTATAAATGGCCATCGCCACTTCTAGCGGCGTGTTCTGCCGAAGCCCACACACGTTTCAACATCTCTCTATTGTTTAATCCCATCACTATTTCTGCCATACAAAAAAACAACCTGTTTTCTTGCTTTAATACTTCGCATTTCAATCACAATTGCAACAATAAGTTGATTTCCTTGCCAAGGTTACAGAAAACTGTGTAGTTGCACACGAACTTAATGGTTCTTGAATGCAATTCGATGGATTTTTTACGTTGCTTTTTATGTTAGTTGATACTATTTAAATGATTAAAGAGTCACTGCAACGTATTGGTGATTACCGTATAGCAAATTTGGCTTGTGTCACGGTTGATGGTTTATGATGTTTCGAGTGAAATGCAGAATATCTCATGGTTTACATAATTTATATTAAGTCACAAAATAATTTACTCGGGATAATTATGGACAATTAAGGGTTGCAGTGCTGACTTTGGGAACATAAATCTGCAAGTGCAATTCCAAGTAATTACATTTTCTCTAAATCACTGATTTAGATTTGCTGATTATCTATTCATGATGCATTTTCTGCTCTAAATCTCCAAAATATTTTGCACTGTAAGTATGCATTTTAAAATGTAAACCTAGAAAATTGTATTACTGAAGTTAAACACATCTGTCCCACTTGTGTAATTTGTAGACTTTAACTGGCACAAGATATGCAAAGACATGCTGATTTTGATATGTTTATTCTGCAGCCAAGTGTGCTGTATCTGAATTGAAAGGCTGCTCTTTAGAAAGCACAAGTTTAATTTCTCAAAATGTATTTAATTTGCATACATTAAGTAGAGATAATTGTATCCAGCCATTGTTTACATAGCAACCAAAGCCATGGCCTTGTATATGATTAAATAGCAGTATCAGTTAATACATTTTCCCCCCACAAATCTTAATATGCATATGCGTTAATAATTGTGTTGCCACGTTACTGATGCACGAATACATATGTGTGTGTGTTTTCCACATGCATATGTGTGCATGTGCCTTTTGTACCACGTGTAATTGTCTGTGTACGATGTGCACGTGTGTGTGTGTGTTGGAGGTCGTGGGGTGGGGAGCGGTAGTCTAGCAGTTAGCGCGCTGCGCTACCAACCCGGCGTCCCGAGTTTGATTCACACTCACGGCCAACACCAGCGACGATTATCTAAACCGGTCCTAGGTCTCCCCCTAGGTCGACTCGGCCTCAAATTAATACCTGGTGCGGTGTGTAAACATCGCTGCTGGGGAGACAAAGGCGGCCGGGCCTGGTGCTGGCCACCCCCCCCCCCCCTCGTGTGCAGTGACTGGCTTAATATGTGCTCGCTAACAGCACTTGCCTCAACACTTTGTTAAGGCTATACGGGGGATCTTTGCATTTGTTGGAGGCAGTGGTCATTAGCAATCGGGAATGATGATCGCATAGACTATGGGTACAAATCCTTTAAAGTGCCTATCACCCTCAATCAGTGTTTGTTAATGGCCTCACTCTCAAACAACCGAAAACAAATAGCTTGTAAAGTGTGTTCTTGCAGACTCGAGAAACTGAGAATTAATGATGTGATCACTCCTTGTCTGACATGATGCCACACATCTACTGTATATATGTAAAAACATGTTTGTGGGATATTATATACATTTTTACATTAACCGAATTGAATCTTCTCTACTTATGAAAAAAATTTACATACCTAAATTTGTCCGATTTTAGTCCAGTAAATCGATTTTCCATACGTCTAATTTATGACTGCATACAACATGTATTACACCCACTGCTTATGTAATACTTTAATTACCTCTGTGTGGAGAGCTCCTTATTTCTTTGTGTTATTCAACAAGGTAGGCAATGCAATTACAGGACCAAATAATGGCTTTTCCCGAGCACTTAAGCTTCCCTTCTTTAATACAAATTGTACATGTACACAGTATGAAGCAGAAAAAAAAAATCGACAAACATTATTCCAAGATAATGCATTATTCGTAATTTATTTTTTAAATGAGTAACAGTTGCTAGAACACAAATTATGTATTAAAATTAATATTTTTATGTTGCACATTTGCATAAACCTGCTAAACAATGTCGATGTAAATCTAGAAATGAAAATTGTATATCACATTGTGATGTCCAGTTCAGAGTTCATCCATCACAGCTCAGCTGCCCCTTACCGCAGAAGGCTACTCGAAGTTTATAGGTTCACATGAGACGGTCACCATGGGCGGAGCAGTGTGGCGGCTCACGTTGTACACTCACATGCGCCTCCCTCTTGATAATCAACTACTGGACAAGGGCCTTCCCATGCCATGCACATCGTGGAGGTTATATGACCATACTTCACCACGTTGGTTCGTGCAGGTTGATAAAGACGGGGAGCGATATGGACGTAGATGCGTTAAAGTAAACTATTGTGTAGCATTCTCTTTGGTTCTTTCGGTAAAGTCACGTAGGTGAAAAAATAAAATAAAAACTCACGACGTTTCAGGCGCAACACAAGCGCCCGTCATCAATGCATTTTGCTGCACTG